TAGCAATAGTAGATAAGTAGCTTGAACTGGCCATCTATTGTGACCAGGTTGGTGCCTGGCCCAATTGTCATCAGAGGCTTTATCCAGCAACTAATGGAGGCAGAAGCAGAGACCCACAGCCAAACATTAGGAGGAGGAGAAAGGAGTAGAGGAACCAGAGGGGTCAAGGACACCATGGGAACGCTCATACAATCAACTAACCTGGGCTCATATGAACTGACAACCAGGGAGCCTGCATGGGACCGACCTAGGTACTCTGCATATATGTTACAGTTGTGTAGCTTGGTCCTCTTATGGGACTCCTAGCAGCAGAAACAGGGACTATCTCTGACCCTTTTACTGGCTTTTGGGACCCTACTCCTCATACTGGGTTGCCTTGCCCAGCCTTAATACATGGGGAGGTGCTTACTCTTACTGCAACTTGACATGCCATGTTTTATTGATGCTCACAGGAGAGCTGCCCTTTCCTGGATGAAGAGGAAAGAGGAGGGAATTGGGGGGCAGAAGGGAGGGTAGGGGAGATGGGCTGGGAGGGGAGGAATGGAGGGTGGAGGCTGTGGCCGGGATGTAAAATAAATAGATGAAAAAAAAGAGTTGCTGTGGTCATGGTGTCTCTTCCCAGCAGTAGAAACCCAAACTAAGACAGTACCTAACCTCATGTTTCTGTATTTTTAAGCTTTTCTATATTTATATTAAGTACTAAAAGTTGACTTGTTTCTGACATAAAAACAAAATTTGATTCTCACACACAGTATGCAGCAGCAAATTTTGTTTCCCTAAACTTAAGTGCATCTAAACTTATGATAAGTATGTCTTACAAATTTCACATTGTATAGTGGTGCTATAGGATAATATATCTTTCATACACAAATGAGGGTATTATTTTTTACACATCTGCCCTTGAAAAATGTGAAAGAAAGGTGATTTGGTCCAAACACCCCATGAGGCCATACTGAAAGAGAAAGTCTAATAAAAGATCTTGTTTTCTACTTCCCTTTCTTATACTCAATCCCTATGCCATGCTGCTGCAGGGAGGCTTGGAGTGCCTGCTGCACAGAACCATGACAGGCCTGGTTTCCAAGAACTAGCTCCTGTTGCTACTGCTGCTGAGCATCTCCAGTCCATCCAGGCTTTAACATTTTCAGAATTCATGCTCTCAGAGTTACCACCTTTTGAAACATCACCATTTACCTTTGATGTCAGAAAAAAATCTCTATTTTAGACACAGTTCTACAAACATCTTCAGAGATGTTTTACATGAAAAGTAATATTGTTAATAAAAGCATTGGAAACTACAGGATTTTAATTTGTCTTCAAGTATTTGGATCAAGATGTAAAGTCCCATAAGGACCAGAATAAGTCAGCAGATGAGACTCATTGCTTTATTCCTTGGTGGTTATGTGAAGATGCTGAAGAATATGAATATTGTTAAATGAACATTCTCATCTAAAAGCGACATAATACCTTGAACATTTCTATTAACCAAATAACTCTAAAAATCTTTTAATGGATTTATTTATCACATGGTAAACTTGATAGCATAGTAATTAAAGTAGCATAGAGGATGTAGTAAAGTTGAAGGCAACTTCAAAATAATACATATAATTTTATTGTAGTATAAATACTTAATGCCAATTGGTGTATAAGGTATTTGAACCATGGTAAATCTGAATGTGCAGGGTGATAATATTGATGGCATTAATATTAAAATTAAAATAAACTTCCTCTTTCATCTAACCTTTACATTTTAGTATCACACCTCTTGAAATACATACTTTAAAATAACCCTTATGAATTTGCTAGTCAGAGAAAACCTTTCATGGTGAATTTGGTTAGTCAAGGCTACTGGAGAAGGGTTGTGGAAAATAACATGGAATCCAGAGAATCCTAAACAAGAATGTGCATGTACAAAGGAGATTCAGGAGAAATAAAAAGATCAATATACCTCAAACCCTTCTGTCATTTAAGAATTGGAGAATTTCTGCTAAAATACAATAATTAATAGTTTCAGAGCTGTCCACAACTGAACGCTTAATGTTTTTAAGATTTGCACATATGTCCAGTGGATAATGTTCTGAAGTGAAGTCTTTCTGAATGGTAAGAGTCTGTTTTTCACTGTCTGTCAGTTGTGCCAGGTGACCTGATTATTTTCATTGCCTGGGCTTGCACTTAGGGCTGGTGGTTGCTGTTCACGCTCTCTAGTGCTGAGCTACATTTCAGCCCCTACAGTGACATTTTCAGACTAGTCACAGATGCTGTCTCTGAAACTGTCTTGCTTGTTTTAAAGCTCACAGTAAAGAACAAAGACCTGACTGTCTATTATAACTATATGCCACTCTATTCTGCCTTTCTGTGATATTTATTCTGTAGCATTTTGAACAAATAGTAAAGTATGGAAACTTAAAACTCTAGGTAAAAGGAACATGGCAAGGCATTTGCCAGCCTTATACTTACACAACACAGAAGGAAACATTGCTGTTTTATCTTTTCTTAGTTGCTTAGTCAATCACAACAGAGGTTGTGAGGAAAGTCACAGTTAATAACAATGGCATACATAAGTCCTACCATAAGCAACATAATTAATGCAAAGACCAGATTTTAAAAAAATAGCTTCTATGGGAAAACAGATTTAAGTTTCTGCTGAATGAGTAAGACAGGTTTAAGGAACACCTGATGATGGTGTGCCCTCTGAATTTTGCTTTATGGATGCAACTAATGTGAACCTGTTTCTACAAACTAATGTATGCAAAAGATGCTTATTAGTACAATTCTGTATTGGTTTGCTCCTTTTGAAAGCTAAATCTCCTAGGGAAAGGAGAATAAGAATTTCAATTTAATGGGCCTCTCTTGCTTATATGGCTGGGGATGGGGGACTGAAGACAGTGGAAAGGTGAATGCTTTTAGCCTTCAGTGCCCTTCCAGAGCTCTCAAAGACATGGAAAAAATGACTGTGGATTTGGCATGCAGGGGCCAGCTTGCTCAGGAAACTGTGGTATACAGAAAACAAAATGCGTAAAAAACTCCTCATCCAGGAAGCTGAGTTTAACAATTGCCTCATTAACAAGATCTAGCAAGGACAGGAAAAGAGGGGGAAGCCAATCACTCATTATTATACAGTTCTAGACAGATGAAGCCCTTCGGCGTTGCCCCAAACAATGCCTGTAGTGTTGATTTGACAAAGTGGCACATTTAAGAGGAAACTCTCTAGCCATCAATGGGAGGCAGACACACTGTATCTTAGGGCCAAATTCAGTCCCTGAAGCTTGACTTCATCAGAAGACACAGACAGAGGAAAAGGCAGTTATATCCCCGGAGAATTAATTAAAAGAGTCAGACAGGGAATATAACCTATAGCTTGACCACGGATCTATACATCAATCATAGTTGCTTTCACCCTTCTCGTTCTTGTAAGTTATTTACATTAAAGTGTTCTTGTACTGCTACCTTAAGAGAAGTTTATCTGATACTCAACTTAATAGTAATTATGTGCATTTTGTAACACATTGTACAAGATATGTCATCAAAGTCTAAACACCCTGGTGGCAGTGTAAGTTTCTAAGTGGCTGAGATCTTTTTAGTTAGGGTTGTGTCATGGGTAATTTATTAGTGTGGTATTTCCCTGATTATTTCTCTAGTTTTATATGGAATATTTGTTCAAATAAACCAGAGTTCAGAGCTGCCAGAATCTGTACTCAAATTTGTCTTTACTGACTACTTTTTGTAACTATTTCCTTTAAAAAGTTTCCCATTCACAGACTATCCTCCCCAATACACTATATTGCAGTAACATAACCCTTCCCAGTACCCATATTTGTTTTTAAAATAGGTATCTCAACCCTCCCCCAAGCCCAGAACACCCAAGTTCATTGAAGTTCCCTTTCTGGAGCCAATGAAAACAACCACAGGACATTGGCATTGCTTTCATTGTGGCTGGGCAATATACAATTCTTATTACCTTCAGTTTTCAGTGGCTTACCAGAGACATCACTTCTCAAGACAGGTTCTTGGTTAAGCCCTTTAGCAAGGCCTGTGATTTCCTCTTGAATCTGTACTTTGTGCTTCTCTCCTAAGCAGTACTGAGACCAGAGTGATTTGTCAGTTATCACTTGCAGTGGGCTCTAGCACCAGTAGGTTCAAAGCAGCCTTTATTACTTAAGGAAAATAGGAAATTCTGCTTCCTGGATGTAAACATGAATTTTCTATGTTGAGAACCGAAAGGATGCAAAGGGCAGATTTGACCAGTATTTTTGTAAGAGTGAAAGTCTCCTTTTTAACCCATACAGGTAATGCTTTTTCTATGAGCCCCTTGGCAAAGTCTATCTACAAACATTTTTGAGGCATACTTGTTCTAACTTTACAGATCTTACTTATACCACACTCCCTTTAAAATATATGGGAGTGTGACCTGAGTAAGCACCATAAAGCCAGAGCCTACTCTTCCGTCTAGATCTTGTTGGTTTTAAAAGTGGTCATGATTTCAAACAGTACCAGTACAACCTCACCATACTCTGAAAAAGAATGATGGCATACTAAACAAAACACTGAAATGGAAAAAGGCAATCTCTCTGTTGGAAAGAAGTGGATTTCTTCTGACTGAGAGTCTGGAATAATGTTTAAACAGAACGATAAAATGCAGAATCACTAATGACACAGTGGCAGCAGGCAGCATCAATTTTGGTGGGCAAAACAATAGAAAAAGTTGATGAGATCTAGAAAAAATAAAATACCCATGATTTAGGCCCACTGCAAGCAGCTAGTGTTCAACCACGTTGGTTTTTATATGGCCTTCAAAGATCAATGTCAACTATGATCATTTTAGAATCAAAATTAAAAAAATTACTTTTACCTGACTGTTGATCAAAAGTATGAAATGGAGAAAAGGAAAATAAACCAACAAACATACTATATTCACACACAAAGTAAAATAATTCTTTCAGGGACATCAGGGAAGGTGGAATACTATAACAATGCATGATCTATTGTTATACTATTCCACCCACCTTAATGAGGAACCCTTGGGCGTTGCTACACCATAGCCTTTGGAATCCAGGTTTCCTCCCACTTTCATTGTGTCACAGGGCTTTCGCTGCTCAATGTATTCGTTCATCGTGGACTCCAGGAGGAAGGCAAATTTGCCCTTGGACTTGCGAACACGAGCCACGCCCTCCGCTGTAGTCCTAGTGAACACAGATGGCTCTGCCGATCGCATGTAGGTCCACATCTTTTCATACACTGCTATTTTTGATCTCTGGAGGAAATGCAAAGAAAATTAAATACAGGAAAGAAGGAAACAGCATGTTAATATAGAAAAAAGCGAGGTGATGGTAAGTCTTTTAGTGTCATCCCATTATCAGAGACCTAACTCTTCAGAAGTTTAACTTTTACAATTCTTTTAGGAAATCAACTAAGTGCCAGACATTTATAGTGATGACTAAAAAAGCGTGTTCCACTTGTCCTAATAATTATGACACTCTCCTGTTTTACTGGATATTGTTGTTGCTGTTATTGAAGGTGGGAGGCCCTGAGAAGAATTGAACAGTTAAAACCCCCATATTCTATCGTACTCCTGGTGAGGTTAAGAAGGCCCAGTTCAGACTTGATCCTTGCTTCTAGAAAACGCTTCTCAGCTCTACATTTGAGCTGTAGTAGAGCCATTTTATTTTTATATATAATATTTTCATTCCTCCAAAGTTCGTTTCACACCAACTCAGCCCTTGATATTAAAGAGACAGGATAAGTGCTCGAGTTTACGGACTGAGTAACCATTGAACAATATCCAAGCTCCAGATGACTCTGACAGCTTGAGACTGAATCTGACAAAATCAACAAATAGGACAACACACTGGGCTTTAAAGAGAGTGACTTCTGTTTTCATACTTCATTTTGGCATCATTCTAACTACATGACTCTGGCCAAGAAGCTTATTTATTTTTAAAAATTACTTTTATTTACTTTTATTACCCTCACTATTTAATTTACTTAAGTCTTTTTGGATTTTATATTTAAATTTTAGTTAATTATTATTTGTGTGTGTGTGTGTGTGTGTGTGTGTGTGTGTGTGTGTGTGTGTATTCAGGGCTGTGGTGTCAGAATGCATGTGCTGAGGAGGAATGACAGCTTTTGGGGGTCAATTGTCTCCTTTCATGAGTTCTGGATATCAAACTCAGTTTTGAGGCTTTTGCAGCAAGTATTTAAGCTAGTGAGCCATCCCAACAGCTCCCAAAATACATTTTTTATGTGAAAAAAGAGCCACATGAACTCCAGTTTCCAAAAGACACATCTGGTAAGATAGGAAAGTGCTAGCTAGTATTATTTGATAGCTTATTACCACACACCAGTGCTTATCATTGCATTTGTTCCATGACAAAGAATGTGAGAAACAATCTAGAATGGCCTTTGAAAGGTTTTCATGCTACTCACATTTGAAAACTATTTCATAATATAGAGATTGTGGTTGTGTGTGTGTGTGTGTACATATGGGTGTGCATGCATGAACATAGATGTGAGGTCAGAGGCCCACTTTGGGTGGGTTTCCTCAGGTCCCATCCACCATGCTTTTTGAGGCAGGGTTTCTAATTGAGCTTTCAGGCCAGTTTGACTGGCTAGCACGGCCTGAGGACTTACCTGCCCTGCCTCTCCTGTGATGGGACTACATGTTTACAACACTATCCTCAACATTTTTAGGTGGATTTTGAGTATCAAACTCAGGCCCTCACACTTGCATGGCCAACAACTGAAGTATCTTGCAGCTCCATTTTGAAAACATTAAGAATACAAGAAAAGTGCTAATTACTTGGGAGATTGAAAGTTACAGCTATACATTACACCCAATAAGAAACATAGTAGAGCCGGGCGGTGGTGGCGCACGCCTTTAATCCCAGCACGCGGGAGGCAGAGCCAGGCGGATCTCTGTGAGTTCGAGGCCAGCCTGGGCTACCAAGTGAGTCCCAGGAAAGGAGCAAAGCTACACAGAGAAACCCTGTCTTGAAAAACAAAAACAAAAACAAAAAAACATAGTAGAATGGGAAAAAAGTTAGGATTAAAAAAAATTTCAGACCATTGACAGTTTTTTAAAGTCTAATTTTTCATTTCATGTATGTGTGTTTATGGTGTATGTGTGTGTATGTATGTTGTCATGTGTGTGAGAACATGTGTGTGTGTGTGTGTGTGTGTGTGTGTGTGTGTGTGTGTGTGCATGTGGCAGCATGAGATTGATAGTGGGACTCATCTTTGTTTGCTCTGCTTTATTCATTGAGGCAGGGTGTCTCAGTGAAACCCAGTCTTGTTAGCCAGTTTGCTCTAGGGGATCTCCTGTCTCCATCTTCCCAGAGACTGGAGTTTCAGGTTGACTACCATCTAGGTAGGTTCTGAGGAATATAACCACTGATCCACTCAACCCTGAAAATTCACTTATTATTGCTACATTCATTTTCTTTAAAATTCAGAAAAAAGATGAATCCATACAATGTCTGTGATAACTTTAAGGAGGTCCAAGCAGAAGTTTTGAAGGGCAGATCTTGTAGAACATTATTTTAAAGCATGTTACATTTGTTTATGCTGTGGAACATTTGTTTAATGATGCAAAGGTGTGTTGCATTCTTTTATGTTGCATTTGTTTAACTCTGTGAAGTTGTGATACTGTGCCTGTCTAAAACACCTGAGGGTCTGATAAAGAGCTGACTGGCCAATAGCAGGGCAGGAGAAACGATAGGTGGGGTTGGCAAGCAGAGAATAAATAGAAGAAGAAAAAGAAAAGGAGCAAGAGAACAAGGAGAGGAGGATGCTAGGGGCCAGCCAGCCAGCCAACCAGCCACAGATAAGAGGGAAAGTAAGATATACAGAAGTAAGCAAAAGAAAAAGCCCAGAGGGAAAAGGTAGATGGGATAATTTAAGAAAAGCTAGCAAGAAATAAGCCAAGCTAAGGCCAGGCATTTATAATTTAAGAATAAGCCTCTGTGTGTGATTTATTTGGGAGCTGGGTGGCAGGCCCCCCAAAGAGCTAAAAGAGTAAAGAGCCCAAAGAGTGAAAAACAACCAACAACAAGCAGACTCAGTGGGAAGAGGTCAGAGGTCAGATGAAAGCATGCTCATGGGAAATGCTGGGCCTGTCTTGTCTCTGTGGCAAGGTTTAGAAATGTTTACTTTGCCTGAAAGTGGACTGACTTGGAAAAGATCTCTTTCTCTCTCTCTCTCTCTCTCTCTCTCTCTCTCTCTCTCTCTC